ATAATAATGCCATCAGCACTGTGCACATCTTACATTTTAACTAGTTTTTTACAGATACGAAGGTACAGTCCTAACCCTTGAATACTTTTGTTAACTGATGAAAAGAAGAAGCCTCATTTCCTTTCTGCTTGCGATAATCTAGTATACAGTAGATCTATATCATTCTGTCACCTCTGGTGTCTTCTTTTCTCTCTTGTTTTCACTCAGAGACATTCAACAAGTCTGCTTTTCACCTTTTCCAGAACTTTAGAAAAGGTGTATGTTTTTTTATTTATTTTATTGACATGAAATTTAACATCTCCTTGCTTTTTCCCCAGCAATCTTTAGTGAACAAGCTAGATCAATACGCTACTCATGTGATTTATCCAAGCACTAACTCATTTCAGAATTGAAACACTTTGAAGGTTATGAAATATTTTTCTTGAAGTCGTTTTAACCAGCCAGCCAGCCAACACTTTGTACCTTACCTTCAAGCTCTGCTGGAAGAAAGAATCAATTATGTATAGCAGAATAATACAATACCATATCAGGTCTTCTCTCTCATGAAATTACAGAAAGTTAGTGGGGGAAGACGGATCAAGTTGCCTACGGGAATCAGAATGGCCATGAAAAGTGGAGGGTATCAGGTGACTAGCCTGGCTCTTTTAGCAGCTGGAAGTAATAGTGTATCACATATGGGAAGACACTGAAGTCATAAGCCCAGTTGTGATTTGCAAGTGATGGAGCTTGACTTAACTGGAAGACTTCAGCGAGATAGAGAAGTGTCAGCATGTTTGTGGCATTAGCGACATGTAAGGTCTGATCCTTGAAGGTGTAAATATTTAACCTCATCTATGTCTTTGAAGTTTTTCAGTTTTACTACTGTTTTTACCACCAGACCGCTTCCAAGTTTAATGTTAATACAGGCAATTCTGTCAACAATATCCCTTTGCAAAGCATAGCTGGTTATTACCTATGGTGGCACGTCTCCAAGCACTCCAGAAAACAGTCAAGACTATGGATTAGCAGTTCAGGCCACATAAAATGAAATAAACAATGTATTTCCACATTTGGAAGGAACATATTGCAAACAGGAAAATGCTAGACATAGTATTTTAAAAGTAATTTAATTTAGAATAATTATTGCATTAGTAAATGTAAGACAGGAATAATATAGTGATGTCTATATCAGTCACATTTTACTGCTGGTTCCATAGCATTTTGTGCAGACAGCCCAGTCCGTTTTCCAGTACATAATGTCTTAGAAGGAAATCAGATAGTACATAGCTATAACACTTTTCAGTAGCAGATATTTCCTGAAAACTGGGTGTCCAAATACTTTAGTTGACTTTCAAAAATGTAAGCCCTACATTTTTCTAATTATTTTCCCCATTTATTTTAATTCTTTGAATAATGAGTGTATGATGCTGGATGGAGCCTTGGGAACTGTGGTGTGCTTTAAGAGCTGCAGGATGGGTAAAATGCAGTCTGTAAAGTGACGTGAACACTTCCTATCTGTGTGCTTTCAAACTGGCTTGTTTTGGGGACATAGTTGGGATCACACACTTGCTTGTTCATCCCAGTCTGTGAAGGCAGTTACTTCTGATGCTAGGGGCTTGAGATGTTGATTGACAACGATTGCAATTATCAGCCTATTTCAGATTAGATTTTTCACCCCCTGTGGTCATGCCAGTAGGATGCTGAACATTCCTCATACTTTTCATTACTTAATTGTATCTATTCTGTAAACATTAATGCAGGGTCAAATCTTGCCTGTCTTACTTCATTTAAGTTAAAGTTGTTGGTATTGCTTGCATAACAAAAGACTCATGGATGTGATCCATGATAAAAATAAATTATATCATTAACCTGGCATTGTGCCTAGAGAAGATCAGCCTGCCTAGTGCAAAGCCACTAATGTTAAATATCCTTTGAGTCTAGCATAGGAAACATGATAAACAAGGAAGGTTTGAGCTCACGCGGAACTAGCTGGAATCAGGCTGTTTTAAGACCCTCATAAATTTCTGGTGATAAAACACCTGCAGCGTGAGTGACATAATTTCAGCTTCCCCTTTCTTGAACACACATGGTCACTGAGACTGAACTGTGTGCCAGTTTTGTAACTTGAGTTGTAATGATTCAGTATCTGTTGGTAATGTAAAACTGAAGATTTCATGTTGCTTTTGTATGCAGTGATGCAGGTTTGTGCTTATGGCTATCATTTGCAGAGTAGGCCTTAGCCTAAAGCAGAAGGCTGAGGGTGGAGAACAACCTCCCTTAGCCAGTAGGAAATGCCAGGCATGGACATGAGCTTTAAGCCATTTCCTCTCATCCTATCATCGGACACCTGAGAGGGAGATCAGCACTTCCCTCTCCACCCCTCATCACAAGGAAGTTTTAGATAGCAGTGAGGTCTCCTCTTCTGTAAGCTGAACAAACCAAGTATCTTCAGCAGCTCCTCATCAGTCATGCCCTGTAGTCTTTCCACCATCTTTGTTGCCCTCGTTTGGACACATTCTAGTATTTTCACATGGTTGGCCCCTTGGCCACCAGGGCACATTGTTGACTCTCATTGAGCTTACCCATCAACCAAAGCTGCCAGATTCCTTTCTCCAGGGCTGCACTCAAGCCTCGTGTCTGCCAGTCTGTACATGAAAGGATGTTAAGTCAGCTTACTTAGCATGACTTTCCTCTCATGAACCCATGCTGGCTTTGACTGTAGGTGCTCACACCATTAGATAGACATGGAGCAGGGATTTTGAGTCTTTTTCCTGTAGAAAACAGTGGACTTACGTACCCAAAGAGGCCGTATCTCTGAGAAGTTTGTGCATGGAAGGTGTCCATGAAATCAGGCTTTTTAAGTGGAAGCTTTCCTTAACTTCAGGTGCAGCAATCCATTTCTGGGGAAGACTTAACACTTCCCTGACTATCCTTCCCACCCATTTAGGACTCTCTATTTCTGATTCTCCAGTTAATGACCACAGTTTTACAAGTGTAAATGAATTTAGTCTCAAAATGCTGCAGAGTCTAGCATGTAAATATCAGCTGGTGTAAGGTCCACAGAAGACCAGCACCTTTGCAGTGAAATGTAATTACTGCTGACTGTGCCATAACCACTAGACCATGCTTGTGGTCTGTATACAGCAATTTTGTGTGTGGATTTAAATTACAGGGGCGTTCTACCACCGCTTGTTAAGTGCTGATGACAAAGAATAGAAAAATCTGCCTCTTAAAAAGCTGCTGGGCTTTAAAAGAGGGTTCTCTTAGAAACACTTAATTTGAAGATTGCTTCTAATTCTACATTGTTTTCTGAGATCTACTTTCCTCCTGTTACTTTTTTACTATTAAGACATTTATATGAATGCGTGATCTTGTTTTCTTAAGCAATCATCCACTCTTGCTATTTATTCTGCTCATAAAATCATAATATTTTATTTGTTACAGCACAATAATAATAATTTCCGTGGCAACCAGCTGTGATGTCACACACAGGGGCTTATGATTTCAAGAGCTGTTTTGCTTTTAAATATAAAGTTCCCATCTTGTAAGCAAATATCCCTTGTCCACCTAAATGTTGGAATTAAATGAGGACAGAAATATGTGTGTGTTATAGAAGCAGCATTATACTAGCCAGAGTACTTTTCAAAGGTTTCTGTGAGATAGTGGCATATTTTCAATGCTCTTTTAACATAGTTTGCTGAGGAATATTTTCCTTTTGGTTCTAATTTTAGGCCACTAATACCTATTCTGCCAAGTACATGAAAAGATATTATTCTGAAAGGAGTTGATTTACAGCATGAAAGTTTTGTATTTTCACGAAGTCTCAAGAGAGCCTTGGAGGTGCATTTTCTGTCTTGCTGTCTCTCCTGTAATAAGGACAAGCATTACATTTCCTTACAGTGTGTGGAGCTTTTAATGTCCTGGCACTTGGACCCTCTCTGGAGAAAGAGGTGGGAGAGATGTTCCTTCAGCCTCTTGTCAGGCTGTGGCTGCTCCTCGTTAAGCACTAAGAACAAAACCAGAAATGAAAAAAAGCAAACTAGAGGCTCCATGCTTGTGTTTCATTAGTGCTCCTGGCCTAGTGCCCAACTATGTCAGAAAAAACAACTTTCTTCAGAAATTCAGGGTATTGATTAAGGCTGTGTTAGGGACTTAGATGGAGGAGACGCACTCTGCCAAAGATGCCTTTTCTGACAGCGAGCTTTAGAAGGGCCAAGTAAGATTTGACAATGATCTCTGACCACAGCACAGGACCACAAGGTGAGGCCCTCAGAGTCAGGGCTTTCAGCTGAGAAAGCATAAGCTTTAGCACAGAGGTTGACCTATTCACGTGTTCAGAACAAGAGAGATCTTTTAAAATTAAAATAGCAAGGACAGTCATCTAGCAGGCTCAATAGATTTCAACACTGTGCTCTATCTTTCATGGTTATTTAAGCATCCTCCTGAAGCTCAGGCATGTGACACTGACTTTTAAAACACATAACAAAGATAACAGAATGACGAGCAGAGAAAGAAGCTTTAAACAATGTGGGATGCACTCCCCTGGTATTCGCAGAGCTTCTGTCTCCTCTCTTCCTTTTAAAGGTTTTTCAATGTGAATGGTTTACTGTAGTAAAAATAAGATGGTATTAGCTGAGGAGAGATCGGATGGAGCGAAGGGAGGAATGAGCACTGTGTCAGAGACGGAGGAATAATAGCTCCAACCTGCTAAAGTCAGTGCGAGTTACCCAGGGCCAGGAATTCAAACCGACTGCACTTGCCCTGCAAGTAAATTCTCTCTCCTCTCCTGAACTTTGAAGTCTTCAACTCCAGATCTGAAGGCTGTACTGACAGCCCAAGGCTGCACGTGCAAAGTATAGCTGCCAGGTACAGTATGTCTCCAAATTTGGGCAAGCTGATCAAAAATCACCTTGCAAAACACAAACAAACCTCCTCAGGAGTGCTTTTGAATAAAGGAGTTAATGATAAGTAGCTTTTCCTCATCCTGAGTTTGCTTAATCACTGTATGCTGTTTATTGCAGGAGTGATTCGTGAGAGCTACTTGAAGGGTCATGATCAACTGGTGCCAGTCACCCTGTTGGCCATTGCTGTTATTCTGGCTTTCGTCATGGGGGCCGTCTTTTCGGGAATCATAGTGTACTGCATCTGTGACCATCGCCGCAGAGACGTGGCTGTTGTGCAGAGGAAGGAGAAAGAGCTGACCCACTCCCGCCGCGGCTCCATGAACAGTGTTACCAAGCTCAGTGGCCTCTTTGGGGATGCTCAGTCCAAGGAGCCAAAGCCTGAAGCTATCCTCACACCTCTGATGCACAATGGTAAGCTGGCTACACCAGGCAGCACTGCCAAGATGCTCATCAAAGCTGACCAGCACCATCTGGACCTGGCTGCCCTGCCAACCCCAGAGTCCACTCCAACACTGCAGCAGAAGAGAAAGCCCAGCCGTGGCAGCAGGGAATGGGAGAGAAACCAGAACCTCATCAATGCCTGCACAAAAGATATCCCCCCGATGGCCTCACCCGTGATCCCAACCGACCTGCCGCTCAGGGCTTCTCCTAGCCACATTCCCAGTGTTGTGGTCCTGCCCATAGCCCAGCAAGGCTACCAGCATGAGTACGTTGACCAGCCGAAAATGAGCGATGGGGCCCAGATGTCTGTGGAGGACCAGAATGCCACCCTTGAGTACAAAACTATCAAGGACCATCTCAGTAGCAAAAGCCCCAGCCACGGGGTTAACCTGGTGGAAAATCTCGACAGCATGCCCCCAAAAGTACCCCAGCGGGAAGCTTCCCTCGGGCCCCCGAGCGCCTTGCTGTCGCAGAGTGGCCTGAACAAGCGGCTGGAGATGCACTCTTCTGCTTACAGCGTGGACTACAAGAGAAGCTACCCTACAAACTCACTCACGAGAAGTCACCAGACATCAACCCTCAAAAGAAACAACACTAACTCCTCTAACTCGTCCCACCTCTCACCAAATCCGGGCCCACGCTGCCCAGGCACAGGCTGTGACTGTATCTCGGCAGCCGAGTCTCACCACCTACAACTCGCTGACGAGGTCGGGGCTGAAACGCACGCCCTCGCTAAAGCCAGACGTACCTCCCAAACCTTCCTTTGCTCCGCTCTCTACGTCCATGAAGCCCAACGACGCATGTACATAATCAGAGTGGGGGTGGGGGGAGGACAGCAATTACACAGAGGTTGCCCTTGAAAACCAGTGTTCTGCAACTGTTATCACTCGCTCCTCTGAGAAGACGGTTGTTGCAAGCTGAAGATGTGTTGGATTTCTGCTCTCTGGGAAAAGTGGAATATTTTTTTAAGCCCGAGCCATATGACTCATGGTTGAAGGTTTGCAATTGCAGGACTTGCCCCCACAACCCGCTGGTTCTTTGCTCAAAAGACTAACCCTCCATCACCAACGTTGAGCCAAAAGCACACAGGTGAAAGATGACTGTGACATTTCACCCCGTCCTCAGCTGCACAATGCATTCCTGAACTGGGAAAGACTG